GCCCTGCCCACCCCCACACTCACTGGGAAGTCCCCAGGGAGGGCCAGGAGGTCTGAGGAAGGAGGCTGGGGCACAGACTCGCCACCCCAGCCTTACGCCATGGAGCTTCCCCGTGCAGAGGCCCCTCCCCGCCAGGTCCTGCCAGCCTCTGGCCACCAGCCCGGCCACCAGCCTCCCCGGGGCAGAGGCTCAGCCAGCGTCAGTCCAGGATGAAATGTGGCCCAGGAAGCAATTACCAGGGTGGCGGGGCCGGCCGTGCTGGGAAGGGCAGGGGTCCCCGCCGTGACTTCCTGTCAGTCGGTGCAGTAAATCCCCACGCGAGGAGATTGGTTTTTCCTCATGACTGATGTCCCCGGCCGGGCTGTTTGTTATTCCCACGGCTGGCCGTCCACCGGAGCAGCGGTTCCATCTGTTCTCTGCCCCACAGCCAGGGGTGAAGGGGTGAGTGGAGCTGAACCCCAGCCTCCGAGCTGTGTGCTCCGGGCCACATCTGTGCTCTGGGGCAGGAGCTTTTCTGATTCATCCATCTGTCCACCTTTTCCTGATTCCCACCCGGGCCCGAGGGGCCCAGGGTCCCTGCTGCACGGGTCAGAGCCCAGTCAGGAGCCTCAGACGAAGCCCAGCCGGGGGAAGGCGCCCCTCACACCCCTCACGCCCCTCTCTCATCTCCAAGTCACACTAGCACCACTTCCCTCCACCCCTAGTGCCACCACTGTGGCCGACCTGCTGCAGCTCCCTCTCTGGCTGCCCCCCCTGCCCCACACCCGTCCCAGCCAGGATGACTTCCCAGCCTGCAGAGCTGACCAGGCCACCTCTAACGCCCTCCGGTCACCATGGTTATTATAACCCTTATCTAAGTTTCTATTAGTTGTTAGTCACTTTTCTTTGAGGTTCCATTAATACATTTCAAATATATTTTTAAATCTTTTTGGGTCAAAATACAATATTGTGACTGCAAACAAACAAACAAACAAGCAAAAGCCCCCATATCAATGGCTCCCTGCGGACTTTCAGGTGAAGGTCAAACTCCTTGTTATAATCCACAAGGTTCCCCACTCTGACTCCAGATGACCGCTCAGCAGCAGACCCAAGCTCCAACCTGTCAGCCCTATCACAGCGCCACACAGCGCTCCGCAACCCCAGGGCCTTTGCATGTGCTGTGGCTCCTGCCCACACCCCATGGCCGCCTCCTTCCTCATCCTTCCTCCCCCCTGCAATGGCCCTTCCTCTGAGAGGCCTGCCCTCACCCTCCAGTTTAAATCAGGTCTCTCCCTAGTTGGCTACGCAGCACTTCTCACATTCTGAAGTGACATTTTTGTTGTTAGAAGTAACTCAGCAGCCCCAGATGCTTTCCTCCATCCTCACTGCCTCCTAAGCAAGGGGTCAGCACACTGGCCGCAGCCGCTCTCCCCAGGGGATGGGCCTCCCAGCTTGCCTGTCCTCAGGCCTGGCTGCCGCTGACGAAAGCCCATGAATCAAACTGACGTTTCCATTACCAAGGGCTGGACGGGCTGGCTTCGGTGGGGGGGGTGGGATGACTGCTCATCACAGTCACCAGCCGACAAGGGACATCAGCCCAGAGACTGCCTGAGGTCTGGGTCTGCCCATCAGCCCTCCGCTTGGGGAAGGGCCATGGCCCTGAACACCCTCTGCATCTGGGGACAGAGGGGGTGACATGGGCAAACGAGAGGGCAGAGCCCATCTCAGGGCACCGAGCCAGTGCAGATGTGGATACAGGGCCAGGATGTGCCCGGGGCCAGCACGTGCACACACGAGTGTGTGGGTCCAATGGGAGCACACAGCGTTGCGTGCCGAGGACACACTTTAGCACACCTGCACATGCGATGTCCAGGCTGGGCCTGTGCACTCAAGCGCAGGGCATGTGCCTGCAGGGACACTGGGGGCAGGTCCAGAGCAGAACACAAGAGCCACTCTGGGCTGTGGGTCAGGCCAGCGTATGGGGCAGATGAAGGGCACTCACATAGCCAACAGCCACTCAGTGATCAGAACGTGTCCGCTGGGCACGGGATGGAGCCGGGAAAGCCATTTGCAGGGGCGGGTGGAGGGGCCTTCGCTGCCCCCTGCAGCCTTCTACGTGCTCACCCAGGCGTCCCCTGCCTCCCCCAGGTGGTCCTCCCTTCTCCCAGACTGGGGAGCGGCATGTGCTCCCTGCGCGGAGCAAACCTCCCGGTGACTCTCGGTAGGGACCCATTGGGAATCACTGAGCCTGCTGGGAAGTGCTTCCTTTCGTCTAACCAGCAGCCTTCTTGCTGCAGGCTCCATAAGACTGAAAGGCAGCCGGCTCTCACACCTTGCCCAGCAGGTGCCCAGGAGGGGACAAAAGGGCTTGAAGACTGTGTGGCCTGTGCAGAGAGCGAGTGGCCCTCGCTGGAGCCGTCCGCATACCATAATCACATACCACTTGCACAATTATTTATTTAACAAGGTTTGTCTTTAAGCCGACTCTTTCTTTTACTTAAATGCCTATTTTGGTTTCATCCTAAGTGATAATATCTGTGAACTCTTGGCACTGCTGTGCCCGTTACACATTTTTTTCCTAATACACATTTACATAAACACAACTATTAAAATAGATTAAAATTTTGCCCATGTGCCAACTAAAACCATGTCCTGGACCTCTGAGGTCCACTTGCTAACTTCGGAAGGACCTTGGGTGGGAATGAAGAGACCTCAGATGCCAGGTGTCCGGGCCAGGCTCCTGTCCAAGGCGTCCCTGCCCAGCCCCAGGTCTGCAGCAGCTCTTCTTGCCCAGAGGCCGAAGCCCGCACTCCTGTCTGACAGTCAAGGCCTTTGCAGTTGGGCCCCAATCTCTCTCCCAGGCCCATCTCTTGCCCATACAGTAGGTCCAAAATACTGAGCAAATGAAAGATGGATTAATGAAGCACTCGCTTGACTAATCAATGCATGAATGAATGAATGAGCATCCACCTCCACCTGGGAGGCCCCAGGCCCCTGAGACTCAAGACATTTCCCACTCTCCCTTCCTGCCACATCAGTGCACCCAAACCTGTTGATTTCCCCTCCTGACGAGCTCCTGAATCTGCCCTCTTCGTCTGGTCCCTAGGGCCGCACCCTATTGTCTCCTCTCAAGTGCGGTCAGGGTGAGGAAGGGAGCCGGGGCTCCCCCATCTTTTCTCTGCCCACACTTCGGTGACCTTCCTAGGCATGCAGTTGGGCGCTTCGACTCTGCTGACCAGGACAAAGTCTGAGCCTCCTAAGGGGCTTCGGGCCCCTCTGGCTTGGCTCCCCTGACCCCTGCAGCCTGCTTTATCGCCACCTTGCTCCCCTCCCTTCTATCCACACCTGCCATCTAGACTATTCTAAAGTTCCTACATGTTCCCAACTGTCTTTCCCTCTACACTTTTGCCTGTCTGACATCTAGACAACCCTTATGTTTTAGCTTAAGTGTCATTTTCCCAAAGGAGCCTCCCCTCACCACTACCCCCAGCCCAGCAGGTGCTGCCTTGGGCCCCCACAGCCCCCCACTTCCCCTCATGGCAATAACAGCCAACATCGACAGAGCACTTACGCTGTGCCGGGCCCTGTTCTGAATGTTCCAGGAACATCAGCTCATTTAACTCTCAGAACAACTTTAAGAGGTAGTTATAATGATCACCCTCCTATGCCCACGGGGATGGGGCACAAGAGAGGTCAGGAAAGTTGCCCAAGGTCTCCAGTGCAGGGGCTGGAATCTGAACCCAAGCTGTCTGGCACTTCACACACTGAACTATAATCGTCTGTCTAGTCACCTGTCCTGCCCATCTGAGCTCTGCGAAGACAGATACCCTCACTGGATGGCTCAAAATCCTATCTCAAGAGCCTACCACAGTGCTTGGCCCACAATAGGGAAACAATGGATTATACAGCTGGGCAGACGAATATATAGATGGATGGGTAAACAATGTGGATGGGTGATGCATAAAAGAAGGATGGATGAAGGTCTGATACAGGGAACTATGGCAGCTGATGGGAGGATGATAGATGAATGGATGATGGATGATGGATGGGTGATGGATGATGGATGGATGATGGATGATGGATGGGTGATGGATGATGGATGGATGATGGATGGATGATGGATGATGGATGGATGATGGATGATGGATGATGGATGATGGATGGGTGATGGATGATGGATGATGGATGGATGATGGATGATGGATGGATGATGGATGATGGATGGATGATGGATGGATGATGGATGATGGATGGGTGATGGATGGATGATGGATGATTGATGGATGATGGATGGATGATGGATGATGGATGGGTGATGGGTAAATGGATGGATGATGGATAGATGATGGATGGATAGATGATGGATGATGGGTGATGGATGGATGAATAAATGAATGATGTGTTTATGGAAGAGTGAAGAAGACCATTCTCTGCTTGGGAGAAAGCTCTAGAAATCCTCTAGGAAAGGATGAGGACTCTTGGAGCCAGGAGTCTTGGTTCAAGCCCCAACTCTACCATTTGCTAACTTTGTGATCTTGGGTCAGGTTTCTTCATCTCTGTGACCCTAAGTTCCTTTGTCTTCATAATAAGAATCTGTTTCCCCAGGCATCTAAGCCCTGGGATTTGATATAAAGGGGCTCTAGACACAGGGTAAAGGGTCCCCATAGGGGTCAGGGTGGCTTAGGATCTGGGTGTGAGAACCTCTGTCTTGCCCACCCCACATTTCCCATCAGCCTGGACCCCCATCTCACCCACCCTCTGGCATCCAAGGCAGCCTGAAGCCTGACCCGACCCCCAGCTTGGCTCTAGGCTTCCTCCCTCTCACATCTCAGTGTCTGACCCTGACTGCAGCGCACTCAGGGCTGTCTCACCTGCAGGCTCCTTGAGGACCTGAGAGGATGGAGCCACGAAGGGGCAGCCACAGCCCGGAGAGCAACTGGCCTCCACACACAGCAAGAAAACAGTTTCAACAAGCATTTATTCAGCCCCTGCTGTGTGCCTGCCGTGTGAACCCCTGCAATGCCAGTGCCACTGCCCCTCCTTTATGAAGCCCACCTAAGTCCTGCCCCCCAAAAGGTTATGTGCCACTGGGCACCTCCTGAACTGCCTAGCTGGGGGGCCCAGGCTTCCAACGGCCAATGTCTGTGTTTTTCCTGGCATCCCAGCTGTACCCAGCAGGGCCCTGCATGTGGCAAAAGTTAGAAGTTGCTGTTCCAAAGTTGCTCTGTGCAGCCCTGCGTATCCCACAGGCCACGTCAGCCCCATGGCTGGGGCCCCGAGACCCAGGCGGCGGCGGGCAGGGCAGGCCCAGTGTCTCCCATGCAGGCTGGCTGAGTTCAGAGCACACAGGCCGGGTTTCGGTGGCGCCAGACCAGTGGTCTTGTGGCAGGGGCTGGTGCTGACGGTGGCCTGAGGTCTGAGGGCAGGGCTGGGTCTCGGTCACACCCAGTGCCCCAGGACCCAGCACTGGCGGCTCAGCTCCGCTGCCTCCTGTGCAGAGCTCCGGGGCCAGGAATCGCCCATGTGAGGCTGGTGTCCTGCCAAGAGACGGGGTGGTCAGTGCTGACAGTGCTTTCTCCCCGCACACCCCATCTGCCCACTGCCCCACCAGCTCGCCACCCATCCACACATCCACTCCCCACTCCCTCTTGACAGGCCTTCCGACGCTCCTACCCACCAGCTGTCAGCCCACATCCACTTCTCACCCCCTGTCCCACTCTCCAGCTCACCCTCCACCCCGGGTACCCAGCTCTCCAGGCCATCCCGTGCCCCCTTACCCAGCCGTCTACCCACCTAGACGTAC